CATTGAACTCGGTCACTTTCTTCCAGCAGCCTCTGTCTGAGAGCTTGACAGCCTTTCTCAGATATCCAGCAACCCCAAGAGCTAGACCACTCTCACTTTACAGAACAGCTGAGGCCCTCAGCGTTCTATGCTGACTTGTTTGGAATGCAGGCATTGAGGAATTCATCTGACTATGAATTTGCGTCTCCAGAGAGAAGTGAGAGCGACGTGGCTCGCTGCCATGGTTGGGAGCCAGGCTGTGAGCAGCAACACTTTATGATCAGTTAGAAAATAAACAGCAGCAACAACTTGATTTCTATTCAGCTCTCCCCATGATAGAGGATCTAAAAAAACACTAATAAATCAATGTGGCTGGCAGGTGCTATCAGAGAGGAAGGCCGGGGCAAAAACAGCGTTCTTCCATTCTGGCCAGCTGCAGAGGACAGAATCAAGAGAATGGAGATGACGGGCCTGGCACGGTGGCTCATGCCTGTAATCCTAGCACTTTGGGAGGCCGAGGTGGGCGAGTCACTTGAGCTCCAGTTTGAGACCAGCCTGGGCAACATGGTGAAACCACATGTTTACAAAAAATACAAAAATTAACCGGGCATGGTGGTGCACACCTGTAATCCCAGCTACTTGTGGGGCTGAGGCAGGAGGAGCACTTGAACCGGGTAGGTCAAGGCTGTAGTGAGCTGAGATTGCACCACTGTACTCCAGCCTGGGTGACAAAGTGAGACTCTGTTTAAAAAAGAGAAAGAAAGAGAGAAAATAGAAATGAAAGGAATGAGAGTTTATGCCTTCTTGTCATGCTACCTTCTTTTTGCAAGAATAAGTGGAACATGGTGAAAGCTTTTCATCTCATTGGAAGGCCACTTGATTTGATAAACAGCACCAATAATGATTACCCTGGAGCATGGCTTTCAGCGAGGCCCGTGTCACAACTTAGCAACTTGCATGCACAGAGCTGTCTACCTGTTTGTAGGTAGCAGTGGTGCTTTTTGGTGGAGATTGGAAACTGCATTGTTCTCTTCTCCCCGTTTTCTGAGCATCTAGTAGAAGAAATGGCTGCATGCAGGAACTTAGTTAAGGCTTATGGCTGATGATAGTAAGGAAAATTTCCTGGCAATAAGGGATGCTAATTACTAGAACAGGTTGCTCCGTGGGGGAATCCCAGCTGTTTACCTGTGATAGCTAACAGCATCATGACCTGTGTTGGTCAGGACTTGGACTTTGAGGTTCTGTCCAGAGGCAGGGGGCGTATTAGCTGACCTTGTTCCTTTCAGCCTGGAGGGCCAATAGGAAGTGTTCCTAAGCCAACTTCATACTTGGGGGTTTTTTTTTCTCCCTTATTTTTTTCTTAATTTGCACGTCTAATTTTCAGTGTCTACAATGTGCTAATGGGCTTTCCACCCACTAAAAATCACGTGTAGATGTGAGAATGTTCTGGAGAAAAGCCGGTCTCTGGGGCTTTGCTTCTGGCTTGAGGTTCTGTGAGGTAGGTGTTAGGAAACCTCCCCCGCAGTGGGCCGGGTGCCAGCAAACCTCAGCGGGGTCAGCAGCTCTTCTGATAATTTTGGCAGGAGAGGGAGACACTCAGCCACCCTGAGAAGAAAGAATGTATATTTTGCGATCCATTTGCAAATCAAGCTAGAATGCATTTTCAGAACTGGGTGTGTATTCAGGGCCTGTCTATTTCTTTCCACCATCAAACCTGCGAGGACAAAAGTAACTCAAGTTCAATATAACTCAAGTTCATTGTTCTCCACCACATAATCTTTCTTCCTATCCTGGATTGTAGCGGGGCAGCTCAGAAGGCATGTCAAGAAGGAAGGAAGGGGAAGGGCAAGACAGGATATGGTAATGGGGCGCACAGTCAGTGCTTCGGGTGATCAACATCAACCTGGTGGTCCTGGGTTAGGATTTCGAGGAGGCGACGGAAGGAGGAGGATGAGAGGGGGATGGGTGATGCCTGGTGGCTGGTGCTTCACAATTTAAGCAAGGCGTGTCTTGGGAACCGCAGGAACAAGGAACTTGCAGGGCACAACCCTTGTACAACAAGGACAGAATGCAGGAAGGCTGAGGAGAGCAACCAATGCTCTTCGGGTCTTCAAAGTGACAAGGGGATTTGATCAGAACTTTCTGAGGGCACCTGGCATCTCCCACAGGCCATGACTCTGTGATTCTCTGACTTTCCTCTGGAGCTGGCTGGCTTCTGTAAAATTATCAAAGAGAAGATAGACCTTAAACTTTAAAAAAATGTGGCCTGAGAATGAAATTATACCGCTAAAGTTCACTTATTAAAATTCATCAGCATGAAGACTTTCTCAAGCCATAATGACTTCATGGCCTAAGTGGAAATTTCATATTCCTTTGGAAAATCAAATTGGCATAGCCAAATGAGCAGAAAATTGTCTTTGACTTGTAGATGTTATTTCTACATTATTTTTCTTTGCGTGAGAAACTAATCACTCACTCTGACACTTAGGCTTGACAGCTAGGAGTAAGAGTCAGAATCTGTCAGTTGCTTCCATGGTCCTAGGAACTGTTTGCGGTGTTTTACGTGCACTGGTTCATTCAATCCTCAGAAGAGCTCTCTGAGGTGAGATGGTACTAAACCCCCACTTAACAGATGAGGAAATGGAAGATTAGAGAGATTAAGTAACCCATCAGGGCCAAGACTGGACTGTGTGTCCAGCCAGCTAATTCCAAACTCCTGCAAATCATCAGTCTTTCCCACTCTCCACCTCTTGCAGAGGGTCAACAGATGACCACTTGAACTGCACCTGTCATAGTAGGGTGGAATTAAGAGCTTGGTGTTGTGGAACAAAGAGAACTGTCTACTGTCTGGGGAACAAACAACATGAACACTAGCCTTCTCTCCCACTGAGTATAAAATGGGCCAATAACACACATGATAACTGTAAGAAAATCACTTATATATTGAATACTGCTGTTAAGAATTTGAAACTAAGCAGGATCTCTAGGTTAATAATTCTCCATCTCTAGAGCGTCACAACACCAAAAGCTAACAGTGAATGCTGACTCTGTCAGACACTCTTTGAAGTCTTCTACATTTTTTCATTTGTTTAAACCTAACGGCATCCCCATGAGATAGGTACTGTTATTTTTCTCATTTTCCAGATGAGGAAACCAGAACACAACTAGGAAGTGGCAGAGCTGGAAAGGGGGTCCAGGATATTTAACCATTAGGCTAAACTGCTTCTCAGCACTAGTTTTTGGCCAACATGAAATATCTGCTTCTGGGATGCAAACAGGAGTTCCCATCCTAGGGGTGGGATAAGGTTAAGTAGATCCAGTTGCCGAGCTGTATCTTGTGAATGTTTGTGCACCTGAACCAGGTGATGCAGAAGGTCAGTTGCAGCTGTCTTCCCACGAGGTTTCCTTCTAGAGATGGGGCGGGTAGTGGGGTTTCCCCACTAAGCCATGCCAGGTGGTTATCTACAGAATGCCCAGTTCATTTTGCATCATTGGCATTTTGTCTTTGACATTTTCTTCTGAAATGAGAAGGCTTGGACTTTTTGTACTTTTTGTACAGAGTTTGTTTGTAAGCCTCTTGGTGTTTCAAGATAGAATCTGCTCATTCATATCCAATGAATGTTATAATGGGTTTAAATGTGGTATTAGAATTTATCAAAGGTTGCTTTTAATGTAGGTAAGGGGTGAACTAAAGTGATTAGATGCCTGCTGAAGACAGTCCAAGTTCCTCAGTGTGGTCTCCAGATTCTCGATGATCTGACTCTCCTTACCTCTCCAGCCTCCTTACCTCTCCATCTTGGTGTGACCCTGTTTCTCTTGCTGCCAGCCTAGCAAAACATTTGCACTTCCCAAAATACACCAGGCTGTCAGAATGTGCCCTGACTCTGTGTCTTTGCCCCCACCTGAGAAACATCTCCTCATCTTCAAAACTCAGTTCAACTTTTTTCACTGCTGTTAAGCCTCTCTTTCCCGCCCTTCTCCAACCCATCAGACTGACCACTCCCATTTTGGTATTTGTACTGTATTCTGAACAGACCTTGAACACAGCACAGACTCCAACACTTTAAAGCCCATAAAATATCATGATAGCATTGGCTTCTGTTAGTTGGGAATTTGATATGTGCCAGGCATGATAATACCAAGCATTTTATTTAACAGACTTCTTGCAACCACCTCTTGAAGCAGGCATTAGTCTCATGGTCAATATATAGATGAAAAGAACAAAGCTCAAATAGATGAAGTGACTTCCCCCAATCCACATGACCAGTGTCTATGTTTAGGAAACTTTTAAGTTTCCTGAGGGCAAGGGCTAGCTTACTTGAGTCAGGGCTCAACTGGGATATACCAACAGTCCAAGCCTGTTTTCCATTCCTGTCCTTGGAGCTTGGCAGGGAGTAGGGATAGGGAGTGGTTAGATGTACTCAAAACACAAATTGGAAAGAGAGACTAAGACATTTTTACTAATGGGAGAGAGGACACAAATGCTAGGCAGACAGGCAGAAGTTACAGCATCTACTCTTCTTTGCACTCATAGCACCAGCACTCTAGTAGGTATCAACAGTTGTTAAATATAAACGAATGGATCTCTACTGTTCTTTCGTTATGCTCCACATTCAGAGCATGAAGAGATCATGGGGCTGTTGAAGATGGAGAAGACCTCAAGGGGGAGGCTGAACTCACATAAGCTTGAGATAGAGGCAGATGTGGGGAAGGAGGAGGGGACTTGTCCAAAAGGGACCGTTGGCAAAGGTGGGCACACTTGAAATTCTTGACCTGGTTAACAGGTACAGTTTTCTTAACTTCTGTAATAGGCTTTCCAAATTCCCCAACTGGGGAAGGGCTTTCCCCTCTGAGCCATGCCAGGAAAGTCATGGCATGATTCTTGTTAGTGCCCCTTCTGCCCACCTCTGCCATGGCTAACAGCCCGCAAGTCTAGCTTGTTAACCCTTTGGATTGCTCATCTTATTCCTGACATGAGTCATGTGGTGTTTTGGCTCACGCATCTGGGGTTTTCTTTTCAGGTTAACATGTTTGTTGAAGGATTCCATGATGCCATCCTCCTCTACGTCTTGGCTCTACATGAAGTACTCAGAGCTGGTTACAGCAAAAAGGATGGAGGGAAAATTATACAGCAGACTTGGAACAGAACATTTGAAGGTGGGGATTCCATCTATAAGGCAATGACATGGGGCCAATTGAGCTGCTGATTTTCTGGTTCTAGTTTTCACAGTTGCAGCTGTGAGGCCTTTCCAGCTTCTTGCTTTTCTCAGCTGTAAAGCGGCCCATCTCATAGGCTTGTTGTGCCAATTAAATGAGTTAATACATGTGAAAGTGCTTTGAAAAAGCTCCACTGAAAGAGGAAAGGCCTTGTCTCCTGATTATTTAGGTAACAGCTCTATGCTTCTTAATATTGCATTGAACACAAGCCTCATGCATAACAGGACAATCAGTTTGTGAAGAGTTTTGTGATGATTTTAAAACCAGTATTAATCCCAGATATACATTCATGTGTTCAGACTATGTTGGTTTTTTGTGAAACGCAGAAAACATTAACTGTCACAGTTAAACCTGGTGGTTTGAGATGATTAGCAGGTCCAGTCGAGCCCTGTGTTTTTTTGGTTTTTGTTTTTCGTTTTTTTTTGAGATGGAGTTTTTGCTCTTGTTGCCCAGGCTGGAGTTCAGTGGCACGATCTCGGCTCACTGCAACCTCCGCCTACTAGTTTTAAATGGTTGTCCTGCCTCAGCGTCCTGAGTAGCTGGGTTTACAGGCACTCACCACCACACCTGGATAATTTTTGTATTTTTTAGTAGAGACAGGGTTTTACCATATTGGCCAGGTTGATCTCAAACTCCTGACCTCAGGTGATCCACTCGCCTTGGCCTCCCCAGCTTTCTTAATAACAGGGAAGTATAGGAAAACAACAAAAAATGGCCCATAATCTCATCTCAAGCAACCTCTGTTGGCACTGAAAAATAGTACAAGATAAGACTATGCTTGGCTAGGAAATTTAAACAGTACAAAAATGTGCAAATTGAGAGGTGAAAGCTTTCCTTCCCAACCTGGTCCCCTCTCCCCACTGTGAATCACTATTAACGATTTCCTATGATTCTGTCTACAAATATTTTAAGTCTTCTGCCAGCACATATGCATTTGTATATCTTATCTTAAAATTTGCATGAAAGGGGTCATAGTATGAATGCTATTTTTCATCTTAGGTGTTTTACTTGTATGTCAAGTTAAAGAATTTTCCATATGAGAGCTCACTGATCCAACACATTTTTAAATGACAGTTACATATTTTTCTACTGTATGGCTGTACAGGAATTTCTTTAACCAATCTCCTATTGATGGACACTTGTAAAGTTGTTTACAATTTTTGCTATTATGCAATATGCTGTCACAAGCCTCTTGCACATCTTGAAGAATTTTTGTGAGTCCTTCCAACAGGGAACATTCCTACTTGTGGGATTTCTGGGTCCAAAAGTATGTTGGTGCTTTTTAAAGTGCATTAGAAATTGCCAAAAAGCTTCCAGAAAGTTCTGCTAATCTATATTCTTGCTAACAGTGTATTTAAGAGTGCTAGTTTCCTCTCACCTCGCCAACACTCAAAGAAAATGAACATGAAACTCAATATGGAAGTGACCTCATTACTGGAGCCTTGCAGATATCAACTCTATATTCATTTATTCATTCAACAAATGTTCATTGAGCACCTACTATGTACCAGGTGCTGTTCAAGGTGCTGAGGATTCAGCAGTGAACTAAAGACATTTCATGCAATCAGTTGAGCTTACATGCCAGTGGGGGGAACAGGCAACAAACAATGAATACAGTATACCTTTCAGAGCTATAAAATAAGGTAGGATAGGGAGCTAGAAAATGCCAGGCAAGGAGGAGTGGGACTGCTAGTTTAGAGTGGTCAGGGAAGGTCTCTGTGAGAGTGAAGTTGAGTAGAGACCCAAGGGAAGTGAGGGAAGCTCTGTAGCTGTTTAGGAGAGAGCATTCCAGAGGGAGTGGTAAACGTGGAGATCCTGAGTGCATGTGGGAGACTATGGAGTGTCCCCAGAGAGAGCAAGATGGCTAATGTGGCTGACACCAAGTGTGACAGGCAGTGTGATAGGTGCCAAAGCCCGAGAGGTAATGGGGTCAGATCATGCGGACCTGCAAGCCTTGCTGAGGTCTTTGGGCTCCACCTGGGTGAGACAGAAAGTCACCTGAGGCTTTTGAGTGACACGATCTGCCTTGTGTGTTAAAAGGGGTCCTTATGGCTGCTATGTGGGAAATAAAGTAGATACGCTTATGGGTATCACTTGACAACCGGGTACATAAAGTACAAATCGCTGAACCAGGGTTCAGTGCATCCTAGCCACTAACTAGAAACCTTGTCCTCTGAGCTTCTCTTTCTTCACCTGTGTGATAAGGAGGTTGGTCTAGTTAATGACTGACAAGAGCTCTTTCAGTTTTACATAGTGCTTGCTCTTCCTTTGAGCCCTGTAATGCACTGGGGTATGCCTATATCTATTTGTAATCACACTAGTGACATTTTTCAATGGCAGGAGCAAATACTGCCAAGTTTAGATTTGGGGCACATTTTTTTTTCAGTTGGGACTTCTGTCCTTCGGTTTGTCCTCAGTTCTTAGAAAGGGCAGGACAGGACAGTAGGGAGAGGTTGAGCTCCATCTAGAGTTGTCTGGGCAGTTTCTATGGTGGCAATTGGCAGATTTCATTTCTCTCTAGTGGATGCCATGTCTTACTCAGAACCGGAGTGACATCTCCCTTAGCATTAGACAGATTGTAGTTCATGGGTGAGTACACCTCCGGGATTATCTTATTTTACCTCTGACTGCTTCAGTTGGGGAGCTGGAATCCAACAGGATAATTCTGGGGGCATATTAGGACAGAGCCAAATTTCCCAGAAGTTTTGCACAATACACTGAGAACCTGGCATCTGTGGACACGACCTTGGTCGGCCACATCCCATTCTTAGCTATTACTCACCACGTGGTGTGGTCATTTGTTCTTGGTCTTCTGACAGAGGGACAGGAGCCAGAGCTGGGGGATGCTGGAGGGCGCCACTGAGGGAGGGTGTGAAGGGGAGGGTAGGTGCCCATGATGGCTGGAATGTATTTTGGTGAGAGCCAGGGCATGGGCTCAGTTTTCCCATAGGCTATCTTGATGTCTGTATTCTAAGGCCAGGTCTCCACAGGCAATATGAAATGAGTCCTGAAACAACCAACTGTGCAGTTCAATCTACAATTAGAATCTCATTTGGTCAAATGTAAAGATAATTGAGGCCAAGGTAAGTTTTCGGCTTGAATTGCTTGGAGAGCCCATTTTATTTGCTAAACAATGGTCCATCTGAGGGTAGGCCTAAAAAGAACTCTAAGGTATCTGTATGAAGAAAAACCCAAACCTTCCTAAAATTAAAAACAATTTTAACTTTATTGGTCACCATTCGGTGACCATTAAGTTGTCAAGGGAAAAATACTCTGGCTGTGATTTGACAAATTTGGCTTTTATTGCCATGAAACCTGTGATCAACTCTCATTTCAATAAATGGCCTGGGAAGAAGCTGGATTTCCTCTGTGTGAGAGGTCAGAGTGACAAGGTAAATAGGACTGTGGCTTAAACTTTGAGCTCCACTACAGCCAAATAGAAATGGGGTGGAAAGTCTCATTACTTATGTACAGGAAAATTCTGCTGTAAGCCTGACAATCTCACCTTATGTACGATACTCTCAGGTGAAGTCTCACTTTGCTAATTGGCCACCCTGAGGATTCTCACCCCATTTCTTGGCAGAATTGCAATAGCTTAAAGGTACAATAGGTCTTAAATTACTAGGGCCACCTCATCTTATAAAATGCTCTGCAAAATACTTAGCAGGACACAACATCACAAACACCTCTCAACAGAATGACAAATGGTTTTGGATGGCAAATAGCTATATATTTTAAGCCTATTTATCACTTAACAGTTTTATAGGCTCTCAAGGATACACAAGTTTATGGTAGGTGTACCCTTTGTAACCAGTCTATATTAAGAAGACAAAAAAATCAAAGTGAATGCTAGCTTCCATTCTGTTTCTGGTAAAGTAGACCAAAGTCTGGAAAAATCAGTGGGCCTTCAAACCACAACCCAAAGGACAGTAAACCTAAATACCTGCCCTCTCCAAGCCACACTAGAGGATGGAACTTTCCCTTGGGATCCTTTTTCCCAGACATTCATTTTACTAGAGGAGTCAGTACTTCCAGAGAGAACCAAATCAGAGAACCAAATCAATAGAAAGGCCAATTAAGAATTACACCAAACTCTCCCCAGATGAAAAGGAAATAACTTTAGTTAATAAAAATGGGGCTGATGTATGCAATCTCTTATTCAGTGAATGAGAATTATGACACAGACATATTTAATATCAGCCAATAACATATATTTGTTTTATTGATTAGCTGCTCTGAGCCACCATTATAGGCCAAAGCAAGTGGATACCCAAGGCCCTCCATTCTGTGGCCACCCGGTTCCAGCCTTATATGTCACTGACTCCCTTTTTCCACATGGGCCATCTTCCCAGAAATCTCACAATTCCTCTGGTCTCTTTGGGCCTCTGTGCCTTGGTAGACACACCTAGGCCAGCCTTTCAGCCTCTCTCCCACTTCTTGATTACTGCTTGCCCAATCTCAGACTTCCTCCAACATCCCTATGAAATTCCTGCTCTTTCACTGAGTCCTCCCTGATTCTCCAGCTTGATGTGCTGGCTCCTCCTCTGAGTGATGTGGGCACAGTCAGGTCTTCTCTACCAAGAGTAATTATAAAATAAATAGTAGTAATAACAGTGATAGTAATAATGACAGTAGGTGAAAACAATTAACATCCCTTAAATGTGCTGAAAGTGCTTCATTTGTTTTATGTCATTTAATCTTCTCCACGGCTGCTTGGTAGGGAGGTACTCTTATGCCCATTTTACAGTTGTGGAGACTGAGGCTTAGAGGGCTAAGTTCCTTGTCCAAAGTCATGGAGCTATGTAAATGTAGAAACTGGTATTTGAAAGCAAGTGGTTAGATTCTGGTGTGAACAAGCTAAATCCCCAGTCCAGGCTGCCCCTCTCTAGAGCAGAGAATGTGTTCAATTCATCTTTGCCTCAGCTGCAGCACTAATTCAGTACTAAGCGTCCAGAGAATGTTTGGATAAACAATCAGCGAAGAACTCAACCGGGATAAAGAAGAATAGCTTTTCTTAGCTATTGGCCCCGGTGACCCACAAAGCAGGCCCACTGCTCTCCTGTGTATTAAAGCAGCCTGGAAAAAAGCACATTCACTGAGTCCTGGCCCTGGAATGATTTTTCTTTTATAATGTTCGTCCAATGATAACGCAAACCCATGGCAAATCTATAAATGTACCCTACCTCCACTTCTAACTCTGCAATAAAAAAAAAATTAATACAAAACTCTGGGATAAGCACGCTGCTTTCAGGATTAGCCTTAATCTTTTTTTCAAACATATTCCCCAAAGAAGATCATTTATTTCTTTTTCTTTTCATTTTTAAATGGAGAAATGTTAAGAATTTAGGAATGCAGACGCAGATGAAATTACAATGTCTTTCCAAAATGCCAACAAAAATGCTCAGAGTCTGATGAGATTCCCTGTGGCATGAGTTTGTTTAAAAAAATCCTGCCAATTCATTCTCTTGTTTTTGTTGGCAGACAGAGGTATTTTAAGTAACCAACGTTGAGTTCTTCGCTTCTGGTCCTGTAGGTATCGCCGGGCAGGTGTCCATAGATGCCAATGGAGACCGATATGGGGATTTCTCTGTGATTGCCATGACTGATGTGGAGGCGGGCACCCAGGAGGTGAGCACGTGAGACCTCTGTACCAGTTGCTCCTTTTGCCCGTGGGGACTCTGAGGAATGCATTTGTTCTGGTGGCCAAAGAGCTGTCTCCAATGCAGCTTCCAAATAAAAATGAGTTGAAAAACCTCAACTTTTGATTGAGGGTATCAAGGAAGACTTCAGGAAATGGTTTCATGTTTATTCTAAGTGAGGAAATCCTACCCTTCAGGTGGCGAAGAATCACACCTTAGTCTTATGGATGAGGGTGTTGGGGTGAAATCAGTAAAGTGAAACTAAGTTTCCTCCCTTAAGATTGGAGTTTTCTGGCGGAGTGGGAGGGTGGGTGGTTGCAAACTCAACGTGTGTTCACGTTTCCAAAGATGATGTAGTTTCAGGATAATATCGTGAAGAGAAAAGAGTGCCCCGGACACAAAGATGAGTCTTCTGTGCTTGGGAGTGTGAACTCTGCCTCAGTTTCCTCATCTGTAACATGGAAATCATCATGTCTTCCTGGCTGATGTCACATGATTACTGTTATGGGGACAGGTCAAATGAAACCTAGAAAAGTACTATCTACATTTTAAATTACAAATATACATATACAATTATACAAATATGCAGTGCTTCAGCAAAGAATGCCACTTCCTCGGTTTCCTTGATCGCTGGCTCCCAGGGTCATCGCTCCGGTGCCCTTCATGGGACCTGGCATATGGGACTTGCTGTTTTCCTCTTTGTATGTATCAGGTTGGTGCAAAAGTAATGCGGCTTTTGCCATTATTTTTAATTATTTAGTTTTAATGGCCAAAACCTCAATTACTTTTGCACCAACCTAATAGATGCCTGGCTCTTGTGGGAAGTTCTGAAGCAGCAGGAGTCACCCTCGCTACGTTTAATGAATGATTTTTTGCCCACTGAGTGGTCTGTGTCTCATCTGTATTCCTGGTTTCCCCCCCCCGGGAAAGGTGGGTAGCGACAGTTCATCAGAGTCCATTGTGAGGTTGCAGGGGTGAAGGTGTATAAAGCCGTTGGCAAGTGCCCAGTACACGCCAGCGATTGTTACATTTTGGTGGCGATCTAGCATCCTCTAGACCTGACGTGGCCTGTGAGAACCTGCTGCACCTCGGTCAAGAGAAGGGGAGGAGATGTCCCCAGCCACTCGGGAGCCATATGCTTGTTTTCAGACAAAAGAGCAATGACTCCCGAGAACCTGGGTGGGAAGGCACTTCTAGAGTGGGGCTTGGGGAACTGATCAAATAATCGTTTTAACCAGAAACTGAGGGATAACCATGGAATCAAACCATAACAGAATAGCGATTTTCCAGGGGCCAGAGGAGCCAACTAAGAGAAAGAGAATTCAGCCTGGAAATGGGGGTGCACATAGGGTGGATTCATCAGAGAGGAGAGTGCAACTCTTGAAGGAAGTCTGGCAACCGGAAGTGGTCAAACAGGAGGTTCCTGAAAGACGCTCTTTCATTATATGTTGAACAATTGAGGGCTGTGAGGCTGGGTACCTGTCATACGCTTAAATCGGGTATACAGTGGACCCTGGCTGTCCTTCACATGTCCCTGAAAGTAACTTGGGCGTTACAATTGGCTGACGGGGTGGGCTGCTCCGGGACAGGTGGGTGGGACAGTGCCCTGTCCGATGAACAAAGCAAAAGCCAGGAATTCCAGGATTATTCCTTTCCACTAGGTGGTAGTGACTGAAGAATCCTAGGGGCAGCGCTGACAGGGCTGGGCCTTCAGTGAGGGCAGGGCCCGGGGGCACCACTCTCAACACTTCCCACCTTCTTCTGCTCTGGCACGACCGCTCTTAATGCCCTCTTGAGAGCACCATTAGTGACTTCAAATCTTGACTTATAAAGTCCCCAGAACACACAATGACCATCAGTGTGGACAACCGACGAACCTGCCCAATGTACCGCGCTTTTCTGAAGCACTTGCTGTCCTTGCCCTGGAGACGGTGATTTGATGAAATGCCCAGAGGCAGCCAGTTTAGATCAGGCTGTGCATTTTGGGGAATAGCTGTGGAAGACTGCGAGCTTTGTGCCTCCTTTGACCTTTCGGCTATTCGTTTTTTTGCCTCTATATAGGTTATTGGTGATTACTTTGGAAAAGAAGGTCGTTTTGAAATGCGGCCGAACGTCAAATATCCTTGGGGCCCTTTAAAACTGAGAATAGACGAAAACCGAATTGTTGAGCACACAAACAGCTCTCCCTGCAAATCATGTAAGTCTAGAGACTTAATTTGCTATGTATGTCATCACCTCTAACCTCAGCGTAATGTAAATTTAAAACCCAAGTGTTTCTAGGGCTTACATTTTGGAAGTTTACATTTCTTTCTCTGATGTGGTAAAACATCAGAGGGAACAGTTCACAAACTGGCATCTTGCCTTTAGCAGAGGCGTTCAGGTCTTGTTTCCCTTCCAGCCTTCTCTTCCACAATGGTAGAATGTTTCTCCCTATTTTTACATCTCTTACTATCATCTCTTGGCTAGGCCATGTTTCCACTTTTAGAGAAAATCAAAATATCAGTTAGTAAATATCACTTGCTTATTCATCTCTCATAGCAAGTCTCGTTCTGATTTTCCAAGTTTGTGGTTACTTTCTAGCTTCTCAGAACCAAAGAGATAACATCCCTTAAACATCTGAACATTTACACATTGGCAAATAAGTGTAAGATGTATTACTTATGAGCAGTTTTGTATACAAGTAGAGAAGCAAGTGGATGTCCTCATAAGTAGCTTACAAATAGGAAAGTTGTTAGAAATCATTGTTTTAGAGAATAAGGTAGGGAGGGAGAACAAAGTGAATATAGGTCTTTCAGGAGGCCAGTTGATCATTTTAGGCTAATATATGTGTGCTTTTGAAAGCATCTTTTAAACTGTTAGGTATTTATGTCTATGCAATAATTACGGGAAGGAATTAAGGAGGAAGTGTGTTAAGAACACACTGGGGAGATTGGGCCTGTATTTGAAATCTCACTGTTGTTACTTGCTGGTTTTGTGACCCTAGGAGTGTTCCTTCAGCTTTTTAAGCAGTTTTCCAATGTGTAAAGAGAAAGAAAAGTGCCCAAAGCTTAGGACTGTTTTGAGGATTACACAAGATGACGCATCGAAGGCTGCATACTAAACTCTAGATACAAGCTAGCTATTTATCATTTTTCTATAACTGGGACACCACTGAACTTGATTGTTTCAAAGTGTTATCCACATTTTCACAAAGCTATGTAGGACATTTTGACATGAAACTTTGGCTTTGGTGAGAGAACATCTAAAAACAGAACATTGACGCAATGAATTTTTCATCAAATCCTCTAGCACTTTGAAGTGTCACCATCCATCTGTGAAAAATAAGAAGCCCTGGGTCAGTGCCCTGGTCCATCTGGTTGTCTTCTTTGACTTTATTTATTTATTTATTTATTTTTGAGATGGAGTCTTGCTCTGTCACCCAGGCTGGTGTGCAGTGGTGCAATCTCGGCACGTTGCAATCTCCACCTTCCAGGTTCAAGTGATTCTCCTGCCTCAGCCTCCTGAGTACCTCCAGGTGCCCGCCACCACACTCAGCTAATTTTTGTATTTTTAGTAGAGATGGGGTTTCACCATGTTGACCAGGCTGGTTTCTAACTCCTGACCTCAGGTGATCCACCCACCTTGGCCTCCCAATTCTTTGACTTTAAACTCAAAAGAGAGTGGCTATATCTGAATTCTTCACTTCCAGTTTTCCTCTGATTCTTGAATTTTCTTCTGTTCTCATTGTGTCCACACTCTAAATAGTGTGCTTGTTTATCTAGCACTTTCTCAAATGGTTCTTAAGCTTTGCACTAGGCAAAAACAAACCAAAACATAAAACAAAACACAAGTGTACTGTCCCTTAGAAAATATTTCTGAAAAAGGAAAAGTTGCCTCCAGTGGGAAATCGAGGGACATCTTGCAATGAATGAAACTCGAGGCATTTCTAACTGTATCTCAAAATGAACCCTGGTTATCTATGCTTCTTTTTCAAGCAGGTGGCCTAGAAGAATCGGCGGTGACAGGAATTGTTGTGGGGGCCTTACTAGGAGCTGGCTTGCTAATGGCCTTCTACTTTTTCAGGTGAGGACCATTTGTAAAGTTACAATTCACTCTCTTCTACTGTATTTGTCATTTGTTTTTGCTTGATTCTCTTTGTGACTTGTCCACATCCTCCTTTCACCCAGGAAGCACAGTGGTTAAAAAATCTCAGCCATTCTTTTGGTGTGACTCTAGGTTTGGTGGTCAGTGGTTTAGCATACTGGGTGCTGGGGTCATGGGTTTCAGTTACATCTCACTGTGGGACAGAGAGCTGCTGCTGCCCTTTGATCGCAGATTTTTATTTTTTATTTTTTTGAGACGGAGTCTCACTTGTTCTGTTACCCAGGCTGGAGTGCAGTGGCACGATCTCTGCTCACTGCAACCTCCACCTCCTGGGTTCAAGCAATTCTCCTGCCTCAGCCTCACGAGTAGTTGGGACTACAGGTGCAGGCCACCTTGGCTGGCTAATTTTTTGTAGTTTTAGTGGAGACGGGTTGACTAGGCTGGTCTTGAACTCCTGACCTCAAGTGATTCATCCACCTTGGCCTCCCAAAGTGCTGGGATTATAGGTGTGAGCCACTGTGTCCAACCCTTTGATCACAGATATTCTGACAAGAATTCCTACCACCCACCAAGTGAAGCGGTTGGGGAGGGAATCTGGATAAAGGGGGAAATAAACTTCTCCCTTCTCAGGCTTTCTCCAATTCAGAATTAGGTGCCGGGGCTCACCTTAAAGAGGAGGAGGGAGCTTTGCGTAGCCCATGCTCTCAGGCTGATCTGTGCTCGGTATCTGGAGAGCCCACATGCTCATCTGCCACTGTGGTTAAGCTCCAAGGCTTGCAAAATTGTAGTAATGTATGTGTGTTCAAGGTACCGATCGTTCTGCCCCGTAAGGGTGGTCCATTCCTTTGTAATCTTTGGTGGTTGAGTTTGTGGTTTTTTCGTAAGTCATTAGAGCAAGGTTTCTTTATTTCTGCATGGGATTGTAACTAGGCGTATGTGACCCTTTGTGGGAACATTGTATTCCTGTTCCTTTGGCCACACTACCCGTAATTTGATTTTTATCTAGGGCATATCCTGGGAGTCAGGGAGAACTTCTGTAGCGGAATAGACAAGACCTAACCCCCAAGGCACCCAGGGAAGAAGGGGAAGGCTTGTTCTGTGGTATTTGGAAAAGCATGCCAATTTTCTCTCTTGAATAAGGGCATCACGCCTGGGGGCACACTACTTTAATCTCTGACCAGGGTTTCATGTTCTGTCACTTCTCATTTATCAACTCAAACCCAGATGTCCCTTGAGGGCACTCTTTGTAAGAGAAACCGTGGTATTTTGTAGCAAGTTTTATTACGACATTCACTTTCCCTTTACCCAGGAAGAAATACAGAATAACCATTGAGAGGCGAAACCAGCAAGAAGAAAGTAACCTTGGAAAACATCGGGAATTACGGGAAGATTCCATCAGATCCCATTTTTCAGTGGCTTAAAAGAAGCCCCCCGCTTTTTTTTTTTTTCTGCCTGAGATTCTTTAAGGAGATAGATGGGATGAAAGACATCAATGAAACAGAAGGGGCGTTCTTGAAGAATTCATTATTTTAAGCAGTTAGTCATTTCATTTTCAAATTTCTTTAGAAGCTCAGGAACTATTGTTAATCACCATCTGCCTCCAGGCCTTTCATCTCATGACAAACAAATGTAATAATGATATCATGTCACTCTGTTAAATGTTCATACTGTTTCAAGGGCATATGATTAGATTTATGTTTTTAAAATCTGATGTCTCCATATCTTGATGGCTTTTGGCAGCATTTCACACAAGGATATAAAATGTGGTTTTCTTAAATGAAATGTTTCGTAGCTAGAATAAAATTATTTTTACAAGTAGAACATTCTTGGAAAGAATTTAACACCCAGTAAGGGGAAAATGTAATGAAAAATCTCAAGGTTGGTAATACAGCCTTACTCCCTCTAGAGCTGGAGGACAGGTTTGTGGTTGAGGACTTCTATGTCCGATGTCTACATTCAGGTTCTGACTTCATATCTTGAAAAAGGATTTCCTCCCTTTTTCAGTGTCTCATAAATGCTACTCTGGATTGTTGTAAATATTAGTGAGATGGGAGGATTTACAGAAGAAAAGCAAGTCTAAAATGTTTCCTTTTTGATGTAAAAAAAAAAAAGTCCCATTTCACACTAACATTTTATTTTACAAGTATTTTAATCTTATATTTTGGCATTAGAAAAATTTATCTTTTTTTTTTTTCATTTTGAAGGTTAAATGTTGCTTACATTTTAAAAGCATGGGTGAAGTGTACAACAAACCAATAATGATAAAAAATGCTTCTCTTTTTCTCCCCGTTTCCCTCTTTCCCTTGGGCACAGCCAAATGCTAATTTCTGCTTTAATTACAGAGATGTGGAAATGTATTCAGATTTCAAACTCTACAGGAATATATCAAAATTTTAACTCTTTTGCATTTTTACTGTTTAACTGTTTTAAATGCGAGTTATTTTACGGTGATACTCCTTCCAGTTCTGGCCAAATGATGAGTTTCAAGATCAAGAGTAAAAAGTTATTAGAATTAAACAGAGTTTTATAAAGGGAGATAGCCCTTTTGCCTCAAGAACAACTTTGTTGAGAGTTACAACTTGACAGCAAGTACAGAAATGACAAATTTAAAACTTTTACATGTGGCATTTACCAAAATTCCCAGTGATGATTTTGGTTAAAAGAGGGAACCTAAATAGCTACTCTATTCCGTTTTAGTTAACTCCACAGAACTCTGTAGGCATCCATGAATAACTGTAATAGTGGGTTAGGTGTGGAGATAGGGAATTTGGACAAAGTTGAGTAAGTTTTTATTGGTTATCTGCTTTGCACCCAGTAGTCTGCACATGAGTTTAAACTCAGGTTACCACTTTCACTTATACTTCATGGAGAAGATAGACAGTGAGGGAGGAATGGGAAGCTGTCATGTCAGTGCACCATCTTGGAATTACATAACTGGGGTCTTTCCTCAATAACATTTTGAGCATCTGAAAAATAGTTTAAAAATTATCTTAATATCTATTGAAGGGCATGTCTAGGGAGGAAATAGGAGAATTTGAGCAGTCTCTTGGTGGTGATGAAGCTGGTAGTTCACACAAGTAGCAGTGCAGGCAAAGGTAAGCGCAAGCTGCCTGTCCCAGATGCTGGCCCATGTGTGCATGCTTCCCTGGGAAGCTCCCACTTGAGTCACAGTTAACAGATGATTTCTGTGTGAGGCACATTTCTCTTCTGTTGTTTAAGAAATGGGAGCTGGGAGGCAGCTAAGAGGGCGTGATAAAAGAATTAAGTACAATCAACGGAAACAACTATGTTGTAGTTCTCCATGCTGGATGCAAAGGAAAAAGTGTCGAATTCCAAAAAGGATGGAAGAAGAAGGCAAGAAGGGCAGCCTCCAGAAGGTCTAGTGCAGGAAGAGAGTTTGAGAAGTAAAATGCAGGAAAGCAAAGCATTGTACCGCTTGGGACTCCCCGAGGTGAAACAGCAAGGAAGAATTGTGTCCATTTCAGTTACTTGAATTGGAGAGCTTGTTTCTCTCATTTTTATTTTTCAATGATTTTATTTTATTTTTTTATTTTAGAGATACTAATTTTCTCTTGTGCTTGTAAAAAAAATTCACATTTCAAGTCTATGTGCTTCTTACGGGAGAAAAATAATCTACCTGGTTGCAGTTTTTGAGTATAAACATTTCTAACCTTTTTAAAATTTCTATAGCAACCCATTAACACTAACATTTTTAGAACAAATATATTCTATTTTAACTTCAGGTAGAGGAATAGTCCTAAACTTAATATGATAGCTCTAGATAAACTCTTAAAGACAAGTGAGCATTTAGTATTCTAAAAATGGCAGAACAAATCATGAGGTTTCTGGATGCCATACCAATTTAAAATCAATTCTCATGTTAAGATTGCTGGCTGGGCGCGGTGGCTCATGCCTGTAATCCCAGCGCTTTGGGAGGCGGAGGCGGGCAGATCACGAGGTCAGGAGATCGACACCATTCTGGCTAACATGGTGAAACCCCGTCTCTGCTACAAAAAAAATACAAAAAATTAGCCGGGCATGGTGACGGGCGCCTGTAGTCCCAGCTACTCCGGAGGCTGAGGCAGGAGAATGGTGTAACCCGGGAGGCGGAGCTTGCAGTGAGCTGAGATCGCGCCGCTGCTCTCTAGCCTGGGCGACAGAGCGAAACTCTTTCTCAAAAAAAAAAAATAAAAATAAATAAAAAATAAAAAATTAAAAAAAAAAATAAATAAATAAAAAAGATTGCTTATTTACATGTCAGTCATGTACGACTTTTTCCTTGAAATCTGCGTATGGGTTACAAAAACTCTGTTAAGTTTTGAAAATTCCATTAAGTTGGAAATCTTGGTTAAAAATGTAGGTGCTTGGCCCAAGGTTACCCTGAATTCAGATCTCTCATGATTATATTTGGGGATTTACGTTCCTAACTGCTAAGCAACATCTTTGACAACTAGTAATTCATACTCTACTAGTAGTCACATGTCATATAGTAAAATAAATAGGGCTTTAGTTCTTAAGTCATTCTATAAGTTTTTACCCTGAAATCGAGGGTGTTCAGATTTCAAAAGGGATACTTTATCAGTATTTTCTCATCCAGTCAAACTTCAGCTGACATTGATACAGGTCAAAATGCATAGATGCTTTTTGGTGTTGGAAATAAGTGTGTGTCTTATGGTCATCATCGTCTTCTTAGATTTTTGGGTAGGGGGGGCAGGTAGGGGGAGACTCAGAAATAAAAGTGTTCTCCAGATCACTTCTATCTGGAAAGAATTTTCTGTACAGAGTCCGTCTCTCCCTCAAGACTGACCACAGGTTTCATGAGAAGGCCCCTGAAAACATCACATTTCTCTGAAGAGCCATCAACTTGTCTTCTCTGGAACCACAGGCATGGTTCTACAGACCCTACTGTAATTCTTCACACTTCAGAACCCATGATTAATGGAGGGGAGAGAGAAATGCATGGGAAAAGAACACCTCCTTTTCTCCTTTCTCTTAAATTCAAAGACGTTTGCTTTGGAATGCCCTCACTTCTCTCTATTCACAGGCTTCTAGAATCATTAATTTACTCAAGGCACATGTGCCTTCTTTGCCCCAAATGCATCAGTTTCATTTTAGTTATGGCTGATTTTGGGTGTGTGTGTGTGTAAAATATGCAGTCAACAATGAGATGAAGGCCATTGCATAGATCTCATGCAGATAGTGATGGATTCAGAAAGTAGGTTCCAGTGGTGTCGCTACCTTCTTGTAAGCCAGTATACACTGGCTATTTGTCGAAGTCTCTGGGAGGTCAAATAGAGCGTTATGCCACTGGGAGTGTTTATAAACTGGAAGGAACAAGCACCTGTGTTTCTTGGGACACAAAGCACTCAGATCCTGAGTGGATGCAGACATGAGAGTAAATGTCAGCCCAAATTAGGCCACTCGACCTACGGACATTTCATGGGTTTTACTTAATCACACCCCATGGTTTCGGGCTACATAAGGAAGCTGGTAACGAGCTGAATTTCTTATTCGGTGGAAAAAACGGAAACTGTCTGAAAACACAGGATATATTTTAGGGGTAATTGTGGAAGCAAAGAGAATGAGATGATGATGTTCAGAGGGACCGGCTTCTTCTTCAGTTGTATTTAGAACTGAATAATAATCAATAATTTAGTCCCCCTTCAACAGCCATACTCAGCAAGAAGCGTGGGACATACTGAGCAAGAAGAATCAGAAGCTTGATCCTCTAAAAGAAATAGGAGAGGGTAGCTTTGCCTGTTGCCACTGTCTTTACTCTCCCTTCTGCCCCCCACCCACATCCACATCCAGCGTCACTCCAAGGATGCGTCAGCATCTTGCACATGCAGGTAGAAATTTGTGAGTAGGCCTGCATACTTCCTCGGGGGAAGAAAGACAAACTAGTGCTGGTTGTAAGAATGTAGCTGGCTTTTCATCAGAACCCTTATGCTAACCTGACCACACTTGCTCTCGGGGAAGTTCGAGCCTGTGATGTGCATAAACTCTAACAAGCCTGGCTTTGGTGCTCAGCACGCAGATTCCATAAATGTCTCTTGCAGGCATAGCCCACAGCTAGACTGCAGGATTAAAATAACTTCCAAAAGGTGCTGGATTGGAGTTTGTTCAATTTCTCATTAACCACTAATGTTAATTCATACCAAATGCAAAGTATTCTAAACCAGCTGATGCTGTTAATGTTCATGTTTTAAGCTACTTCAAACACAACGAAAGTGTTTCAGTGGGAGTCAAGTCTCACAAGTAAAGGTCCATTTTATAATAGCTCTCTGATGTATCAGGTGCGAGATGATACGTAGGGGAGAGATTTGAACAAGCAGAATTAAGTGTTAGCAAAAATGCTTCATTGCTTCGATTCATGTTTAAAGACCTAAATTTCTATGCACAAGGAATAAAGGGCCACTTACCAAGTGTAAATCACAACATAGGCTACCAAAATATTTCTTATTTGCTAGGAGAACAAAGCTGTCACCGTGCATAATAGTTGGACAGAGATGGCTAAAACAGAGGCAAATTCAGATTTGGAAACAGGTGTCCTCTTTATTATTGATTGCCAAGATCTGAAAATCTTCAGTGTCTTATAAGATGACAGTGAAGTAGCCCCTGAACAGCATGGAGTTGCTGTGAGCATGTTCATTGCAGACCTTTGCGTTGGGTCCTGGGAATCTGAGCTTTGTTCTCTGTGCATGGTGGATAATTGAAACCAAGAGGACGTGGGATAGACCTTGTGACAGATCAATTCTGCGACCTCTGTTTTCTGGGTCACATTATTCATTGTTAATTTAAATACAGGACTACCAAACAGTACAAACCTACCATGAGTCTGGTGGAAAAGTAAAAGTAAAAGCTGCACAAGTTACATACAGTTTATTATTCTAATGTACAACTATTTGCATATAATGTGATTTAATTTATTGTTGTTTTGTGTAGAAAAGGAGAACTAATGACTGTGGATATAACCCCTGTTTTGTATAATATATTTTATTTCTTGTGCAAACTGGTCATTTGAAATATCTACTTCATTTGATGTTTGGATATAAATGTGTATGTGTCCTTGTAAATGTTTCTATTAAGCAAGAATGCCACATACTCAGAGTATAACAATGTGTTCTCATTAAAAAATACATCCCACAGAAACCTTTTCCTGTTTATAATTCAACCAGCACACACTGCACATATCCATATTCTTTGAGGGCTTTTGTTCTTCTGGGACTTGTTTAAGTCAAAGGGCAATAGGTGGGTCTGATGAATTGTAATATTTGAATGATCCCCATGAAAAGACTCAAGAATTTCTGCCTAGCAAAGGCAAATTGACAGAATTTTAAAATGGGGGGTAAACTTTGAATCAGCAGGTAAGGGAAGAAATCTTCATGAATGACAACCATCA